ATTAGTTTTTGGTCATGAACTAAATATTGCCCATCTACAAATTTTCGGATGTGCTGTATATGTACCAGTAGCACCACCACAGCGCAATAAGATGGGACCATAGAGAAGGATAGGAATGTATGTTGGGTTTGAATCACCCTCTATTATTCGCTATCTTGAACCATTGACAGGAGATTTATTTACTGGTCGATTTGCAGATTGTCGGTTTGATGAAACAAATTTTCCATAATTAGGGGGAGAGAAAAAGGAAATCAAAAGAGAAATTGTGTGGAAAGTTGAATCATTATCTCACTTTGATACCCGTACCCCTATATGTATTCAAGAGGTCCAGAAGATCATTCATTTACAGAATATAGCAAATCAAATGCCAGACGCATTTACTGATTTGAAAAGGATAACTAAGTCACATATCCCAGCAGAGAATGTGCCTATCCGAATTGATGTCCCAGTAGGACCATCTACTAACATGAGAGCTAGTGAACCTAAAGCACGCCTGAAGCATAGTAGGCCTTTGGGTTCAAAGGATCGAAATCCTCAAAAAAAAAATTGATAAATGATCGAAATGATACTATGAAGGGATCTCTTGAAAAGACCGAAGATCTAATTAGTTATGAGATTCCTGAATAAATTAATGAACCCGGAGCTCATGTGAGTGAAGAACTTTTAATAAGTTCGACCGGTGATGGGATTAATTTAAATCGATCTGAAATAGTGGTGGATAATATTTTTGCATATTATGTTGCACTTAATATTATGCAAGATAGTGAGGATCTTGAACCTCGATCTGTCAAAGAATGTAGACGAAGGTATGATTGACCAAAATGACAAGAGGCAATTCAATCGGAATTAAAGTCACTTGCTAAAAGAGAGGTCTTTGGACCAGTAGTCCAAACATCTGCTGGTATAAAACCAGTTGGTCATAACTGGGTTTTTGTGCGAAGAAGGAATGAAAAAAATGAAGTTGAAAGATATAAAGCTCGCCTTGTTGCACAAGGATTCTCACAATGACCTGGAGTCAATTTTGATGAAACATATTCACCTGTTATGGATGCCATAATATTTCGATATCTCATCAGTTTAGCATTGCATGAAAAGCTTGAAATACATCTAATGGATGTAGTTACAACTTATCTGTACGGTTCACTTTATAATGAAATTATATGAAAATCCCTGAAGGATTTAAAATGCCTGAAGAGAATTCAAAATCTCAGGAAATTTATTATTAGATTACAAAGATCTTTGTACGATTTAAAGCAATCTGGGCGCATGTGGTATAATCGCCTTAGTGAATATTTATTGAAAGAAGGTTACATAAATGATGTTATTTGTCCATATATTTTTATACAGAAAATGACATCAAAATTTGTTATAATTTCTGTTTATGTTGATGACATAAATCTTGTTGGAACTCCAGAAGAGGTCCAAAAGGCACACTACAACAAAAATTACTTTTACCAATCAATATTTAGTGGCAATAAACTAACTACCGCTAATTTAAACTTTAAGTAAAATCTTTACCGGCAAATAATTGATAGCCGGCGATAAATCCTTTCGCTGACAATTAAAATACTTGGCTAGTAAAAGTTATGCCGGAAATCGCCAATTTTTCATATTTCCACCAATCTTTTCCCCAGTTCCCTCCTTCACTTTTATACATCAGAGAGGTTTTTCTTTTCAAATGCCGATTGAAATCTCTCTCGGCTGATACTCCCATATTAGCCCAAAAATCACTCTCCATATCGGTTTATCTCCCCCACTTCTCTCTCCCCCTATAAACAAAACAATATTCAACTAGCAAAAAGCTAGGGCTTGAAAACCACATAGAAGAACAGTAGCTATCTTCTTCTATCTTTATAGATTTGCTTCAAGTAAGTACTCGATTACTCAATTTTTATTTAGCGTTAATGTTTAATCAAATAGTGTTAAGAATTTGGATTTCCCATTTTTAATGTCTGGTTTGGATAAAGAATTTACTTTGTTTGACTTTGTTCCTAGTTCTGAACCACTGATTTTTGGGTATTTTTGTTTGAATTTTATATTGAATTAGAACTGCAACGATTACAATCAAAGAGAGAAACTAAGTGGTCTTTTCCAAAGGGGCGGTTGGAGTTGAAAAAAATCCTATCGCTATCCTTCCTCAGTTTGACTTTGCTTCTAGTATCCTTTTCGATGATCCTGTAAGCTGTAAATCTTTATCATGTTAATTCGATATCAGTACTTTTATGAAAATTAATTTTTCTTGATGTATTTTATGTGCATATTCTTCAAATAGTCAGTTTTCTTTTTTTATTTGGAATGTTTGGCACTTCACAGATTTGTTTTTTCTATAATCTTTGATAGTCTGAAGGAATCTAAAATAAAATGTGTTGTGGTTTCCTGATCGCTCTTACTAACCAAAAGTCAGCCTAGCTATTTTATTTTGTTCATTTCTCTGGATCCGGAGGACCCGATGTATAACTATAGAAACCATGAAAATCTATATGTATTATAGTTAAAAGTCAACCAAAAGTGTTTGTCTACGTCTTTGATCTGTTTTCTATATCTCCGTATTAGCTTTTAGTTTGCTCCCATATGTATATGAATGCAAAAAAATTATTGCAATTTTTGGTACAACATATCCCAGTTAATTGCATCTGAATATGGTCGTGGGATCTGACATGGAGTTGGAAGGCAACCCCTCTGGTGCATTTGAGATATGTGTAATTGTTACTGTAATTCAATTAACCTTTCATTTTACTGCTTGAATTTCTGTGATAGCTACTAATTTAATCTTAGAACGCTCTTTGTCATCTACGATCAGATGTTCTGAATATTAATTTTAGAAGAGGTAGTGATAGTAGGCTATATAGTTGATATTGACACCTTAATATGACCATACTTTGTTGCCGTCTTATAGATAAATTACCAACAAAATGCTCTGAGTAGTGTTCTTTTGTTTCGCAGGGAATATTATATGAGAGGAAGCAACATGGAGTGTTTTGGAGGTGATAATGTGAAGAAAATGCCCACTCGAGAAGTACCTGAGCACTAAGAAGCAGAAAATGGCCTGGGCAAGAAGTCTATCGCGACCGTGGTGGAACCGCGGTGAACCGCGATAGATTAAAATCGTGAGGCAGAAAGGTCAGCTCTCACCGCGGTCGACCGCAAGTGACCGTGACCGCGGTGCACTGTTCACGCTGCTGGAAGTTTGAGGACCAAAGTGTAATTTCGGGGAAACTTNAAGAATGCTCTAGTAAATTATTGTAGTTGATTGAGAGATAATTACGATACCCATAACTCTTAATCCTTATAGAGTATTACGGCAAGATTATAGCGGAAGAGTCAAGACCTAAACTAGCAATTGAGGAAATCACTGCCCTAGACCTTTTTACCATTGAATTATCTTTGTTTTAGCTTACTGTTCTTTTTCATAGTATTTGAAGTAGTTAAACAAAAACCCAATCTTAATTGAGCAAAAATATTGCATCTAGAGATTGATTGAGTTGATAATAACATTGCCGAAGAGTGTAACAGATAGGTTAGTTCCCTGAGGATTCGATTCCAGACTTAAAATCGGATTTTATTTGCAGCGACCACTTTGTCCTTTAAAAGGCATAGTTGGGCGTTATCAAATTTTGGCGTCGTTGCCGGGGAACTAACAGTGTTATTTATTACAACTTAGAAGTAGTGTTAAAATTATTAGTTCAAATCAATTTCCAAAGGTGTTAAACAATTTTCATTGAAATTCTAACGTTTGAACTCTTGTGGAATTCAGGTGTATGCCTAGAAATTCTTCGAGGACTGGAGAACTGCTTGAAGGACTTTCAGACCCCAAGAAAACCTTCAGGGCATTGAACCGTGCCAACAAGAGGATCCAACAATCACAACAACCACACCAGCTTGAAATTGACATGGGTGATGTAGAGAACGTCAACGGAAACATCAGGAATGAGCCAACTGACCCAAACGTCAGAGTGGTGGCACCTCTTGTACCAGAAGCTGCACTTTATGATTAGGATCAACCCACAGCTGACAACCTGGCAACTGCCATAGCTATGCCCGCAATTCAAGCGGAGACATTCCAGATCACCAACAACATGCTGCATCTGCTGAAAAATAAGGGATTGTTCTCCGGGTCACACATAGAAGACCCTCAGCAACATTTGAAAATTTTTCTATCAATTTGTATGACTCAAAGGCAGCCAAATGTGACCGCAGAAGCTATCAAGCTATTACTGTTCCCGTTCTCTGTGACTGGGGAAGCTCAGACTTAGCTGAATTCACTCCCAATCAATTCCATTGTCACCTGGGAGGAATTAGTAAAGCAGTTCCTGAATAAGTTCTACCCGCCCAACAAGACTGCAAGGCAGATTGATGAAATATTGCAGTACAAGCAGCAGCCGACTTAGACCTTGCAAGAAACTTGGGAAAGATTTAAAGGGATGCTGGTGAAGTGCCCTTACCATGGCATTCCAGACTAGATGCTTGGCCAGAGGTTCTACATGGGGTTAGCTGACAATCTAAAGGCCAATGTGGATGCTTCAGCTGGAGGTGCATTTTTGAGTAAGACATTCACCGAGTGCAAAGTCCTTCTTGACAAGATGTCCCAGAATTCGGGGTGGATGACTAGAGGTACAACACTGGCACCCATAGTGCATTCAGTTCCTCTTGACCCAAATAATTCGCATGTAGAGAACATGGCCACAATCATGACTTAGATGAGTATTTTGACAAAGAAGATAGATGAGATGGGTACCAAACAGGTACATATTATTGACATAACAAATGGAGGACTGTGAACACCCTGTGTTAATCAGTCTTATGTGTGTTCATGGAGCGGAGAAGGTGAAAATCAAGGGGCAAGGGAATATATGAATTATGTTAACAACATTGGGGGTCAGAGACAAGGAGGACAGTAGTGGATACTAGCACCAAATTAGCAATACAGACCCAATATGCCTCAGCCTAGGGGCATGCAAGCTCAAGGCCAAATGGTGCCATACCACCAGAGACAACATGGCTACCCATAGCAGAACCAGCAACAGTTGACATATCAGCCACCTTCTCAGCAGCAAGATAACAACATGGTAGAGATCAGGGGGATGCTCCAGCAACTCATTGGGACAAATGGTAAGATGCAAGAAAAGTTAGCAGTACATGATTCAGCTATAAAGAACATTGAAACTCAGTTGGGGCAGTTGTTTATGGCTTTAAACAACCCCCCCCCCAGGGAACATTGCCAGCAGATACAAATATTATCCCCAAAGAGCAAAAACCGAATCAGCTGATGGCAGTAAGTCTCAAGAATGGGAGAGATTTAGACAAAGAGAAGGAGGTTGCACAAGCCAGCAAAAGACTACGCCAGCCACTCCAACTCTACTAGAGATAGATAAACCAACAAATTTGACTGAAGTGGTGGTTGAACAGGGTCAAGATGAAAAGGGTAAGGCTAAGATAAATGAACAAGCTGCAGAACAAGTGGTGCCTCTTGTACTACAGAACCCCAATAGAAAGAAGCCAGCAAGCAGTGCACAAAGGGTGATACCTGCACCATTCCCTCAGAGACTGGTAAAACAAAAGAAGGAAGATCAATACAAGAAATTCATGGAGATGTTGCGTCAAATTCAGTTGAATATTCCTTTGATGGATGCCTTGAGAGAGATGTCAGGTTATGCGAAGATGATGAAAGACCTAATGTCACGAAAGTTTGATTTTCAGGACCTATCCACAGTGACTCTGACGTAGACCTGCAACGCAGTAGTGACCAAACCGATGACTCAAAAGATGTCCGACCCAGGTAGCTTCACTATTCCATGCATGATTGGGAGTTATGCCTTTGCAAAGGCATTATGTGATTTGGGAGCTAGCATAAATTTGATGCCTCTGGCTGTATACACCAAATTGGGCATTGGCATAGCTAGACCGACTTCGATGCTGCTGCAACTTGCTGACTGCACGGTAAAAAGGCCTACTGGGATTCTTGATGATGTGTTGGTGCAAGTGGGGAAGTTCGTGTTCCCTGTAGACTTTGTTATTCTGGACTGTCAGGTAGATGAGGAGATACCTATCATTTTAGGTAGGCCATTTTTGGCCACTGGGAGAGCACTGATCGATTGTGAGATTGGGGAATTAAAAATGAGACTGAACGATGAAGAAGTCATATTCAATGTTCAGCAATCTATGAGGAGACCCAGTGAATATGCTAATTGCTCTCTAGTGGAGTCAGTGGATGTGATCCTGCAAGAAGATGATGTGACCCTGACTGCTAAAGATCTATTGGAGGCATGTCTGACAAATTTAGAAGAGATGGATGGTGAAGGGTTAGCTGAGTGGGTCATGGCACTTGAAGGCCAAGGATTCTGGAAAAGGGAACCTCAGTTCGAGTCCCTTGAGTTAAAAAAAAAGGGCTACACCTCCAGCAAAGCCATCAGTAGAGGAACCACCCAAGCTGGAGCTAAAGCCGCTCCCAGCTCACCTCAGGTACGTTTTCTTAGTCCCCGATTCTACTTTTCCTGTTATTATATCATCCGGTTTGCTAGATGTGCAGGTAGAACAGCTTTTACAGGTACTGCAGGAAAGTAAGACTGCCATTGGTTGGACCATGGCAGACATAAAGGGTACAGCCTTCTGTATGCACAAGATTCTCTTGGAAGAAGGGCACAATCCTTCCAGAGAACATCAATGAAGGCTGAACCCGAACATGAAATAGGTAGTAAAGAAGGAAGTGATCAAATGGTTAGATGCGGGAATCATCTTCCCCATCTTTGATAGCAATAGGGTCAGCCCTGTCCAATGTGTGTCGAAAAAGGGGGGAATGACTGTTGTGCAAAATGAGAACAATGAGTTGATCTCAACTCGTACAGTCACGGGATGGCGGATTTGCACGGATTACTAAAAATTGAACACAACCACCCGGAAGGACCACTTCCCCTTGCCTTTCATTGACCAAATATTGGACAGGCTAGCCGGGCGATCGCACTTCTGTTTCTTGGATGGATATTCGGAGTACAATCAGATATCAATAGCCCCTGAAGATAGAGAGAAAATATTCTTCACTTGTCCGTATGGCATCTTCGCCTTTCGGAGAATGCCTTTTGGGCTTTGCAATGCACCGGTGGCATTTCAACGGTGCATGTTAGCCATTTTCACAGACATGGTGGAGGATATTATGGAGGTCTTTATGGATGATTTCTCCGTGGTGGGAGATTCATTAGAGGATTGTCTTCACAACTTAAGAAGAGTGCTCAAAAGATGTGTGGAGACAAATTTAGTATTGAACTAGGAGAAGTGCCATTTTATGGTTCAGGAAGGGATAGTCCTGGGGCATCGAGTGTCCAGTAAAGGAATTGAGGTCGACCATGCTAAGGTTGGCGTGATTTAAAAACTACCACTGCCCACTTCAGTCAAGGCGGTGAGAAGTTTCCTTGGGCACGCCGGGTTCTATAGGCGATTCATAAAAGACTTCTCCAAAATTGCTAACCCATTATGCAAACTCCTTGAAAAGGATCACCCCTTTGTGTTTTCTAATGATTGCAGGTTGGTATTTGAGGAGCTGAGGAAGAGATTGGTGACTGCACCCATCATTGTTGCACCCAACTGGGAGCAACCATTTGAGCTCATGTGCGACGCAAGTGACTATGCCATACGAGCAGTCTTGGGGCAGCGAAAGGATAAACTGATGCACCCAATTTATTATGCAAGCAGAACGCTAAGTGGTGCACAACTCAATTACACTGTGATGGAAAAGGAGATGTTGGCTGTTGTTTTTGCATTCGAAAAATTCAGGTCATACTTGATTGGCTCAAAAGTTATTGTTTACACTGACCATGCAGCAATTAGGTACCTGATAGAAAAGAAGGAGTCAAAGCCACGTTTGATTCGCTGGGTTCTTTTGTTACAAGAATTCGATCTGGAAATACATGATCGAAAAGGGACAGAGAACTAAGTAGTTGACCACCTCCCAAGGTTGGAAGGAGCTGAAAAGAAGGTAGAGGTTGAGGATATAATAGAGACATTCCCGGATGAACAGTTACTGGCAATGAAAATGGAGGAGGCACCTTGGTATGTTGATATTGCTAATTATTTAGCAAGTGGTATTGTACCTTATGAACTCTCCTCAATTGAAAAGAAAAAGTTCTTTCGTGATTGTAGGTATTATTATTGGGATGAACCTCTATTGTTTAAAATATGTGTAGATAACATGATCCGGCGGTGTATCCCCGAGAAAGATCAAC